TGAAACGTGCATGGTCAGTCGCCAACCGACAGTTCTTTCAACTTCCCTCACTCAAATGATTACACTAAACGGACAAATGGATATGTTCGGCGAATTTATTTTTTCCCACTTTAATCCATCGGTATTAAAAAATGTCGTGCTTCAGAATAATACAATCAGGTGCGTTATTGTCACGTGACTGTCTTCTCCTATTATGGGAATGTCACGCACCAATCGATCGCTCGAGTTGATCCTTCACTCGACACCTCGATGGATAATCTTCAAATGAAGGTTTACCTTCTTCGCGGTGTATATTTAACATGCGTTAACGGAGGTAGGTAAAGATAATAGCTTTCATACTTAAATAAGCTTTGATGAATCAAAGCTGATCGCATGCAGGTGATTTTCTTTCGGCAAAAACACGACAAACGAATTTGTCGCCGTGGTGTGCCCGGTGATGGGATGAATTTTTTCAATATGTTTTATTTTCCTCTTCAACAGTCGCCGTCCAACGATGTCTAGATAATTTTTGTTCCTTATTATGTTTGCGTGATCGATTCAGGACAGAAAATAAACTGTCTGTGCCGACAGATTTTAGCGGTCGCGTGTGTGCCTGTGAAATTGTCAACGTAAGTACGTTTGGCTTTTGACAAGAGTCACGCTATCGAAGTAATAGCCACAAGTGCTCTAAGACATATAAGGTATTCTGAAGCTTAACCAAACTAAACCTTCTTAGAGTCCGTTTTCTTTTCGATTCCTTTCTTGGCGATATAACAGGCAAACTTCGTCGCTTGTACCACTATTTCGGGACTTCGCCGCTCATGTTAAGCGCTGAGTAGTCGACACAAGCTCGAGGCTTGAGTTCGATTTGCACCCTGCGCTAGCTTCGCAGGCTATAACATTTGAAAAGTTACAAATCAGCTGAGGCATTCCGAGCTTCAGAATTTCATGAAATTTAAATTTGTTACTCATATTTTTGTTAAATAATCAGCTTATGTAATTCTATTCATTCTGTCACCTTTCAGGTAAAGTCGCAATATAGAGTGTTTGATAATTAGTCTGCATTGTCTCGCAAACCCAAACATGTGCAGCTTTCTAAGATTTACATAAGTGTAAAAACTTGTGAGTTTAGCTCGACATCCATTCACTATTAGTGTGTGTGTTCAAGAATAAAACTTTTGCCAACCGGCGTAGTTAACAATTTTAATGAAGCCCATAATGTCCCAATACATAACGGGAACACAATTAGAAAACTGAACTTATAATACAACCGGAAGTACTGTAGTTTTGAAACTTCCAATGTTCTAAAGTATCCAAAAAGGTTTGATGTTTTAGAATTTTCTACAATTTAAATATGCTCTCGATGTAAATGGAAACGTTATAATTTTAGGAATTGAAGTTTTAAAATTGGAAGTTTTTATTGATTAACAAAGTTTTCATATTTTAATTTGGCGGGCTCTTCAAACGAAATACGCAGACGTACGTTTGTCTAATAATAATATGTTATTAACATATTGGGTTAATAATATGTTAATAACGACAGCCGGAAATACGTTTGCGTTCGCAGGCTAAATGAAACAAGACCCTACAATTAAATAGCAAATTAGAAATTTAGCGGGCCAATATGCCCCAAAGTAAATGGAACCTAGAAAAACCTTTGGGGAGCCAGAACCTTATTTTTATTAACCCTTCTTTTGTTTTCATTTAAGCCCTATCAGCGCCTAACTTTTCAACGGTAGCAGAGATAGGGGAAACTATCTCCTTCAAGTTAAACCTAACAGAGCTGGGTTGGTACACTGATGATGTGGTCCACTCTGTCTTGGCGTGGAATGACGCCAGGCATCCCATTGCAAAATTGCAGCAAGGTTCTACTCATTCTGAGTGTTACAAGAACTTATCTTTCCTGGGATCAGTAAGATGCACTGATTTCAATGTCAGTGTAATAGAAACCAATGTTGTCTGCCTGAAAATGAGAGTGGTCACTAAGGCAATGGCTGCAGACTACATATATTATGCATTTTACAGCATGGTTAAGCACAACACGAGCCTTGTGCAGATTAACGTCCATCTCAAAGGTAAGGCCTTTCCTCTCGTTCGATTTCTTTAGAATCTATTCGATAGAATCGATCGTTCAGTCGATTGATATTTGGAAAACAATACCTTTGTTTTCAAAACAGAAAATTAAGACCAGGATACTTGATTTCCAACCTTATTCTCTTGTGATTGAGAGAAGGTGCTCAGTCATGATTTCAGCATCACTAATTTGACACAAAAATGAAGTCTAATCAGTTTGAAGTACCCCTTAATTAAGTTCAAAACCTACTCTGCTGACCATGTAATGACATTTGCTGTTCATGGTCCTTATGCCGTGTTCTCAGTGGACAAGACACTCAGTTAACTCTACCCTCGCTTGTCATTACCAGAAGTATAAATTATTCCTGGCCAATTGTTGGAGGGGATAACCAGCCAAAACTGCCAAAGGGTATCTGCTTTGGGGATAAATTCTATCCAGGGAGACTAACAATACATCATACAGTAGCCTGCATGGCAACAGCAAGTTTCCTGCTCCATGCCATCTAGCCCCGGCCTCCACCCCATCCCAAGGGCTGTGACAGTTTTTAATCTCAACATTTAATATACACCTTTGCAGACACACCAAATCCAACGCCAGGTGTCACACCCATAAGCAGTATTCATTCACCCACGGGGCTCCCTTCTGAGCCCAATACGAAGACAAACGATCCGACTAGGAGGAATCAAGGATTACGACCAGGTTGGTTTCCTACCTATTTAACGGTTGACCAGATGGGTTCTCCACTGGAATTATTAGATTCATACTGTGAAGACGAATTTTTTATTGAGCTCTTGATTCAGTGTTGGATCACCGAATTCAAACTTCCTTTGCCTTGTCCCTGCTTGCCTGTGGGATCTTGAAAATACTACCGGCCAGAGGGACAGCTTGTGTTTTAAGGCAATTGGGCTTAAGTCCATGCACAGTTTTATTTGTAGACTAGTTCCATATATTACTCTTATAAAGTCTTAGACTAAACTAGAATCACTCTATAGTAATATTTTCATCCTCTGTGATCTTGTCTTTCTGGCTGGTAGGATCTTGAAAATAATACCAGCCAAGGGCCTAGCTAGGGGGTCCTGGGGTGCCTGTGATCCCCCCTTTTGTAAGTCTTTTTTTAAGCAAACAACCTACAACAGGTGGCGAAAGTGATTCAACAATCTGGTGGTTGCCCTCACTTTGGCATGCACAGCTTTGGGACCCTTCTTTGAAAAATCCTGGTTAATTGCCCCTGCTACCAGCCAGAGGGACAGCTTTTCTTTTGAGGCAATTGGGCGTAAGTCTGATCCATGCACTGTGAGTGAGTGGGTTTTATTTGTAGAATAGTTCCATATATTACTCTTACGTCTTACACTACACGAGAATCACTCTACCGTAATATTTTGATCCTCTGTGATCATGTCCTAGCTTCTGGCCAGTAGGATCTCGGAAACACTACCGGCCAGAGGGGCAGCTTAAATAAGGCAATTGGGCTATTTCCATGCACAGTTCTATTTGTAGAATAGTGCTATATATTTAACTCTTTAGTCTTACAATACACTAGAATAATTTTTTCCTGCTCATTTGTCCCTCTTTCATTTGTCCTTCTTGCCCGTGGCCTTTCATTTGTCCTGTTTCATTTGTCTTTTCATTTGCTCTGCAGTAATAGCTTCAGTGTTCTGGGACTCTTGTCCCTCTGGCCAGTAGGATCTTGGATGGCTCAGAAAATACTTCCTGCAGCCAGAGGGACAGCTTGTGTACAAGGCAGGCTTAAACTTCATTCCCAGTTTGATAAATAGAACACTTCTGTACATTACACTTAAGTCCTAAAGCAAGTTAGAATAATAATGAGTTACATATGAGGATTATCAGACGTTGTATTTCAGTGCTTATAACTTAAAATTGATCAAACGTTTGAGAGATGGACACTGTTCCTTAGCATAATTAAGACAATATCTGTTTATGAAATAATCGATTGACTATTAAACACAAATTAAAGCAATGAAATTTTCCCTTTTTTATCCTATTTCTTTGTGAATGGTGTTTACCTAAACAGAAAAGGTTTTAGGAAAGCCTTTATTCAACGAAAACGTAACTGCCTAAAAGACATTGAGCCATTATTCTTACAAATTAAGCCACTCTCATCGTGACATTTGTAGTCTATTTCTCTCCTTAAAAGAGGCTTTCTAAATAACAAAGTGTAATTAACCCCAGTAACTCTGGAATTAATCAGATTGAATAGTTTGAATATTGCACCCATGAGCATAATAAACAGTGTTAAACAAAAACTTAACTCAACCTGATTAAATTTTTACTCGGAACACAAATTATATATGGTACTGTAAATATAATTAAGCTACAGTATTTATTGTAAATTATTACATACAGTGTAGCTTAGAGGGGTCCTTATGTCTGTAGCTTACATAGTTATTAATCTCCCACCAACACGGTTGCACCATCATTCCAGTAGTCTGACAGACAGTGACACTGTGTCACTTTGATTGTTACACGTGGAAAATTCCCCTGTAGTAGTGATCACATCTAAGCCATTGCAGCCATTGCTTCGACATAGAAAGATGGATTCTTCACAGTTTACAAGATTCTTTGTCTCCTGGCAAAGAAATGTATGTGTCCGCGTACGATTTCAAAGTGTCTATATATAGACAGGGTGATTTCTGAATATCTCAAGACAGACACCATCAGTAAATTTATTATTCAGACAGCAGAAAAAGAGTTTGGCTTAAAAGGTCAGTGCACTATTAAAACAATTTTGACCTTGTCCCAGCATTCATTTTCCCCCTATCATTACCAGGGGTTGATCGCAAGTAGATTAAACACTTAATACTAATGCCTTGTAGTGTACAGAGCACCAGGCAGAGCATAAGTAAATTAAGACGCCATGCAGTCTCCCTAGCCTGTACTGTTTTCTTTGCAATCTAAGACTCAGCTATGTTAAGTTTTAGGAAAATACGGTGTCTAAGAGTCTTCATACAAATGTGACTCTTTGTTATTCTAACCTGCTTTAGGACTTAAGAGTGATGTTCAGAAGTGTTCTGTTTATCAAACTGTGAATGAAGTTAGCCCAACGGCCTTATATACAACATATGTCTCTCTGGCCGGGAGTATATTCTTAGCCATCCAAGGTCCTACCGGCCAGAAGGACAAGATCACAGAGAATGAAAACATTACTGTAGGGTGGTTTTTGTGTAGTGCAAGACTAAAGAGCAATGTATGGAACTATTCTACAAATAAAATGTGTTTGCCTCAGGCCGGTAGTATTTTCAAGATCCTCCTAGCCAGAAGGTCAAGATCACAGAGCGGAATAAAAATATTACTGTATCTAGAGTGATTCTAGTGTAGTGTAAGACTAAAGAGCAATGTATGGAACTATTCTACAAATAAAACTGTGCATGGATCGGACTTCAGCTCAATTGCCTTATTCTGGCCAGTAGTATTTTCTTAGCCATCCAAAACCCTACCGGCCAGAGAGACAACTCACAGAACACTGCAAAATATTATAGAGTGAATCTAGTGTAGTGGAAGAGTACAAGGTAATTTATGGAACTACTCTACAAATAAAACTGTGCAAGGACAATAAACCTGTATGCATGGACTTGATTATAAGCCCAATTGCCGGAGGGTGTAATTTGCAGGTTGCAGGTTGCAGGTTGGTTGCAGATTGCAGGTCAATTATAGATAATAATAATGAGTATAAATAAATAACTAACTAAACAAATAAATAAATAAATGAATAAATAAATACCGGATGTTAAATTTAGAATTCCCGGAAGTGTCTTATTGGCAAGACTGTCTTGTAGATACTGGTGTTATGGTGTTCATCAGCAAAGTAATCTTAATTTACACAAATGTCTGGGTAATTTAAATAACTTTATGCTAATTATTNCGGAAGTGTCTTATTGGCAAGACTGTCTTGTAGATACTGGTGTTATGGTGTTCATCAGCAAAGTAATCTTAATTTACACAAATGTCTGGGTAATTTAAATAACTTTATGCTAATTATTTTTGAGATCAGCAGGGTTCTTGTTTTACGTCCTCTCCAACCGAAACCTTCTTCTCCTTCTCCTTCTCCTTCTCCTTCTCCTGCTCCTGCTCCTGCTCCTGCTCCTGCTCCTGCTCCTGCTTCTGCTCCTGCTCCTGCTCCTGCTCCTTCTTCTTCTTCTTCTCCTTCTTCTTCTGCTTCTGCTTCTGCTTCTGCTTCTGCTTCTGCTTCTGCTTCTACTTCTCCTTCTCCTTCTCCTTCTCCTTCTCCGACCTGTAACCTGCAAGCTGCAACCTGCAAATTACACCCTCCGCCCAATTGCCTTAAAACTCAAGTTGTCTGGCAGGGTACATAGTACCTTCAATATCCTACCGGCCAGACAGGAACAACGCAAAGGAAGTTTGAATTCGGGGATCCACAGAATCAAGTGCTCAATAAAAAAATCGTCCTCCAGGAAAGACATACATAAATCTCTTGTGCCTAAGTCAAAGACGTCTACAGTATTTTACAGCATACAAATTCACGGTTTACGAACTAATGTGAAATCCCGAGTTTTCGAACCTCCAAGTTAAGGGAAACGAAAATTGGTTCGAGAAATCGGGAGTAAAATTACAGTGTTCGACTAAGGAGAGGGAACGAATTTTGGTTCGAGTTATCGGGAGGTTCGAAAAACAGAGGGTTCGAGAAATCGGGATTCCACTGTAGATGGGAAGAGACTAGTGAATGGTTCGTAAACCGTAAATTTGTACGCTGTAAAATACTGTAGACATACTTTTTGGCGTAGACACAAGAGCTTTTACATACGTCTCTACACATTATTCTTAGCATGTTAGGTAAATAAAAACGTACTTGTCCTGTTGATCAACATAGCTTTACCACTGGGAATTCGCAAATTATGTGGACCCGAAGTGATTGGAAAAGTCCACCATGTTGGAATCGGAGACTCGCGTGTGCAGCTCTTACCCTAAAATTACGTGTCTTTACAAAAATAGCTTCGTTCAAGGAAACACCAAGGACTTTATTCTGTTTTCATGCGAAATAAGCTTGATTAATGATTCTTCTGTATCCGTCTTACATCTCCCGTGACTTCCGAGAACTTAGTTTTGCCTTTTAGAACCGCCTGTACTTCCAACCACAAAACAAAATAACACTTATAAATGGCTTGATTTCAGCACGGGCAGGGTGTTCGTACAACGTGATAAACCTGGAAATACAGAACTTTCGATTCTAATAAAATACATTTTGAACAGCAATAAACAATTATAGCTCAGATAGTACATTATACGAAGGTTCTTATCTGCGACTATTCAGCGCTATAAATATGACTGTCGACGGCTGGTGTTTGAATGGGACATTCCATTTTTTATCCGCACCCCCCTCCTCCCCCCTATGGAAGGGCAGATTTCGACACCCTAGTTTTTTGTTGTCGGAACCTCTGAAGTTTGCATCCGAGGGGTTCAAAATTTTGTCCGCTTCTTTGAAAAAATATTCCGGCAGGCCCTGTGTCAGAGGTTGCCTTCCATTAGGGGTTTGCGGATAAAAAAATGGAATGTCCCAATCGTCCAAATTTTCTGTACACAAATGATAAAGAATCAATTACCTTAGAACGGAACTTTATGATTGAGTACTTATCTTCGAACTAGAAAAAAGCGTTAAAATGAGAAGTAAACAGCAGGCTTTTAATACACTCACGCAGTGAAGAGTATGAGAAATTAACCAGGCATTTGCTGTGGTATAAAGAAAGGCGGGAAAGCCGCACTGGAACGCGCGTCATGACGTCACCGGAAGTGATCTTCACTCTTTGCCAATACAGCCGTGGGAGGACTCGCGTGGTCACTGACGTCACTGGACTCAGCAAAAATCCGAATTAATACAGTTGTTTATTTACTGTAAATTCCTTTCTTCTATTTTGTTTTTTCTTTTAGGCATTTCTTTTTCACTGATGTTTGTCGCCTACTCAACTTATTTTATGGCTGTGTCATCTCCCAGTTAAAGGAAGTAAGTCATATACTATTATAAGGGGGGTGAATAGGTTTTCGGATCGACGGATTTGGCCTTAAAAAGCGCACGGATTGTGGATTTTCGCCGTTAATCGAGCGGATTCGTGGATTTTGAAAACAGTATGGATCGTGGATCAGCTGTGAATTTTGGCGCGGATTCCGCATTGCGCACGGTCTTGATGTTCGGATCTTGGGTCCTAAACGAAATTTGGATCCAAATCCAAATTATTTCTTTTTTCGAACAAAGCTCATTTAAACTCAGGCGTGAGACTGTTATTGCAATTGTACTGTGTTATAGTCATCAAGCATGTTGCCTTCTTTACTATTTGTGCGAAATTACTAGTAACAATGGCATTCTCATTTACCTTTCCGAATGTAATTGTGGTTTCGAATTTGAAAAAAACTATTGGCGGATCGACGGATTTGGCGAAAAAAGGCACGGATCGGCGGATTTGCATACCCCCTATTAACCCCCCCTCCATTATTCACCCTGATTATTGTTTCAGTGCAAATGTGTTCAGTCAGTGTTTCACTACAACGTGTCAATGATTATGTGAGATCACTGATATCTTATGATATTTTATGGCGTATCGTTGTAATAACCCATCCTCAGCCCGCCCGCCATTAAGCACAAGCGTAAAATAGTTATTAAATACTCTAAAAGCAGAAAGCAGCTACTGGAAGTTAATGTTGTCACCTGAATAGCTAAGCGTATTACACAATAAACTTGCATCGTATTGTATTGTTGTATTGTAGGGAGTCCACATGCCGCTCGTAAATCTGGTCTAATTTGCCCATATTGCTGTTCTTGACAAGAAGCTGAGTGATGAACAAGACGAAGTGAAAAATCATTTGTCGTTTTGTGTATTCAGATCGAGGTCTATTTATTTTGGATTTCATCAGTTTTGATATGCATTTAGGGTTCTTTGTTCTTGCATGCAGCTTCCTTGCCATCTATTTTGTAATATTGAAATAAAAATGGTTTTACTTTTCAAAAGGGTTGCTCCGTGTACTGTGACACTGTTTTCTCGCAGCTGTGTCGTACCGTGACATATGTATCCGCTTTAACCAAACCCACCTCGAAGGTGTGGACGTTATTAACGGTATGCGGATCAATATGCGGATCAGATGTAGCCTCCGACGCAGCTCGTCACGCAATCTTCCTCCCTACGAGGGGGGAAAGGAAGATTGCGTGACCAGCTTAAGAGCGTCTGCGTCGGAGGCTACATTCTTGGACAGAATAAAATGGAACAATTATCCCNCCCCAAAGCAATGATGAAGGCGCGAAGGAGCAAAAGCGCGCCATTTTGGCATCATTGAAATGGGGGGAGGGGTGGTCCAGATGTTCCATTTATTTTGTCTAAGATTGTAGCTCAGATGGGATATTCACTGTTTTCTCTGTTTTGTTTTTTATTCTATTTTCTCTTATTTTCTTTTCTGTACTGTACTGTGCTTTTCTTTTCTTTTCTTCCCTTCTCTCTTTTTTTCTTTTCTTTTCTTTCTGTCTCATTTTTCGCCGCACAATATTTCATATGGAAAAGCATCAGTGTTGGGATGCCGTTAGACAAAGGTGTTTCTATGGAAACAAAATTCCAAGGTTGTCCGAAAAACGCAGGCCTGGAAAACAGCAGCAAATGTTGTTCATTTTTCGTTTACGTGTATGAAAAGAGTCCATTCTCAGTTTGGAATGCAATAATTCCTTTACTTCTTGCAATGTCTGTATGAACCAAAGTAAAATTAACAGATATTTTCAGTACTGACTCTGAGCCGAGGAACAATTATTAAATGTCTATTTTACCCTCGCTGTCACTGACGTCATTAACAATGACAACCATACACTGGGAAAGAATGCTGGTGAAATTTGTCTTTGGCCACCTTTGTCCATTTGCGGAACATGAAGGTCCAAGACCGACAAAATTGAAATCAACTTCCGTTTCCTACGAAAAACGGAAATTGATAACTGCACTGTGTGCCCTTGCATGTCTTTTTCTTATTTTCTCTTCTTATTTCACCCAAATAAATAATCACGTTAAATCACTAAGAGTGGCTGCCCAGTCTTATTAGCCCATTAAGGTTATTTCGGGCAGTCATGTACTCTTCTTATTTTGACTTATTTTTGTTCATCTTATTTCTAATTTCTAGCTGAATACAAATAAAGTTGTTGTTGTTGTTCCATTCCCGGGTTTCCAGTAACGAACTAAAATGTTAACTGTTTTCAGGGTAATAAAAATTCAAACCAATACCTTTGACTTCAAATGAAGCTATTTCATTCGTATATTTAAAAAGCATTCAAAAAATTATACGTACTGATCTAACAGTAAATGAACCATTTTCATTAATGAAATTTACTACTATATATGTTCTCAGCCTAGCTAAGCGACTAAAATAACTTAATATAAGTATTGTTCTGTAGATTTAGCCTCTGATTGGCTGATGTTAGAGTGCAGAGTGCCTTAGCTTAACCGGTTCAGTACTTTCGACACTCACGTCAGTGAAAACCGCTCAAGCAACATAACATAAACTATATATTGCCATCGCTATTACACCATAAAATGTTAAAAATAGCAGTCCATGTTGATCACCATCCCATTGATCATGATCGCCATAATATACGTCATTCAAAGAAGAAAATGCTGATACAGTAGTATACGACCGGCTAAGCAATGCTACACACCATTTCATACTGATATTTATGGGGGAGGAGAATCAGCTACATAAAATGAAAACCTACTCTCTTTTTTTAAAATAATATTGATTTTCAGGCATAGGCTCTCATTTTTCTGCCGATTTTAGGCTGATTAAATCCTTGGAAATATTCTTAGAATATAGCGTATGACATTTCTGTTTTAGAATTTATTGGTGTATCAATTACAAGTGTTTGGTGTATGGATGGCGTTGAAGTAATTTTGGAGCCAGGTTGCTGGCGATACAGCTTGATATGACAAATATAACTTCCTGCAGAAATGTTATTAGCATCGAGCATGCAGCTAGGGTTGTTGCTGTTTTTCTTTTTGTTGTTGTTGTTTTCTTTTTCATTTCTTTTGCCGTATAGAGAAAGGAAGAATTGTCTACGGTTGAATTAACACATATAATTGTAATGTGTTAATTAAAGTATCGAAGAAGCAGGCAACAGCACTGATTATGATTCTAAAACTCCACCACAACACCTCGGTCGCCTCGAAAGGAATGAAAGCGAGTTCTCTACAAACCTCCATGAGAAGTTAGGGAAAACGGGGGAAAAATATCTGCAGATATTTGAAGTGAGTATGCAGCATTTGTTTCCCACCAAGTCCAAAAATTGGAATGCTAAAATATTGCTCCAGTATGCAACAGTTTCTGATCGCATATATGCTCACACAAAAATCTGTTCTTGCGTCGCAACGTACTGGACAGACACTCTAAGCCCGAGAGCTTGGATTTGTTAACTCAAATCAACCAAGTGCATAATACAATAGGAAGTTCTGACCTGAGTGATTTCAGTTTCTAGGAAAATAAAATGGTTTCTGCAAGTGTCAATGAAATAAACAACATCTCAGAATTCGAAAGTGCGTCACTCAGGTTACGGGTAATTTGATTCTGTACATCCCATGTATATCTAGACACACCAGTTGAACGCCAACTCCTGCTGCGGAACCGTTCCATTAGCTCTTTCTAGTTCGTTGGCAACTGATCAAAACGGTGTGTTTAAAGAATTAAGCATCACAAAAGACTTCCACAACTGACAAGAGTTCCCACAAAGGTTTCTCCGGTGCTGCGTCAAGTTTCTCGAAGCCGTGAAGTGATCAGTCAAGCTATATATAAAGACGTGTAAATCTCGTCCGTACCGGCAATGCGTTGCTGCCCAAAAGATGTTTTACTAGTTTGCTTTCTCCTTGCAACGATGGAGCTTAGGAGTTCAGGTATAACTGGTTGTATATTCAGCATGTTTTTAGTTAAGTCAGGAATCACTTACATCGTCACAACAAACACGACCGCTTAGCTTTAATTACAACCCAACGAGCGACCTCGTTCACCCGCATTGGTAAAATTACGATCCTTTGTTATAGTAATTTATCTGTTAATAATTTTGCTCGTCGCATAACTGACAAATAGTACAAGCCAAATATATCTTAAAGATTCCAAGTATTACATGTGCACGGAAGTTCTATGAGCAAACACTTGCCCACAATCAACAACTTCTTATCTGGTCGTCTGCCTCGTAATCTTCAATGGAGCGGAAATTGGAAGCGCTAAACCTCGTAGAGGTTTCACCGGATAGTGGAACAAGAAGGCGGACAAACCCAGAACAGTTTGCTTTCGCACTTAAAAGGACTGTTTTGTTTTGTAACAATACGGTATCTCAGTTCTAACAATATGAATACTAATTAGTTTTCAAGACTCATGACAATGGTCAATAGTGACCTTTTCGCTTGTCCTCACGCCCTTGGATTTCGTTTGATATTCTACTCTTTTCTGTTACGTTTTCTTTATTAGCTAGGGTCCTGCGACTGGTTTCATATTGTATGCTCCCTCGGCACCCATTGAAACTACGAAGTTCAGAATATTTCCTACTGCAAGTACTGCCGAATTGATCGTTACGCCGATTTGCATTTTACCATCGTTTGCACACTAGCCAAACTGAAAGGGCTTGTGACAAAGAATAATTGTTTGACCTGTAGACTTGAACTGTTTTCCAGCTCCGCATGGTAACATCAAACAATGAGGGAAATAATGACTGTAAAACTAACAAACCAAATTTAGTAAAGATATAATGGAAAAAAAAATCCTTAAAATGCATTAACCAAATCATAATTTGTCTGCTGTGTGGGCCGATTAGATTCAGCTGACCCCGGAACTGCCGACTTGTAGTGTTTTACTTTTTCCTAGAAACTCAAATTAAACATTTTCCAGCAATTCTCCTTTCCATCGTGATGCTCAAGCTCTTGGAAAAATAGACTGTGTTTCTTCATTTTCGCTCCGATTTATAACAGTTAGCACTAAAACCTCCTGAGGGTTGCTATTGACCGCTCAATACTCGAGTAGCTGTTGGGCTTTTGTGATCTCCAAACCACCAACCCACATGCCACAATTCGTACACTCTGAGAATGAACCAATTCTACTGAATAGCATAAGCCCCTTGATTTCCAAACTAAACAGTCAATGGAACCCCTATTAACAAATATGTTTAATCCTTTGACATTTCACATGCTCCAGCGGCAAGGTTGTTGCGTGCTCTCCAAACTTTGGAGTGCGTCCATAGCTCTAGCATGACCAGCTCTTTTATGACGTAGCTAAAGAGATGCTCGTATACACTCATGATTTACATGGTGCGGATATCTGGCTATAATAAATTTAGTCACTACCGCCTGTCGTTTCGACTTCAGATAAATCAAGTCGAAGTTTTAAAACGTTCAAGGGTTAGCTACTGATCTGTTCGGTGAAATCTCTGATCGAATTCCGATCCCCATTCGATATAACTTACTCTGTTATCCACCCTAGCGCCCCGCTGTTTGTGGTTTATCTCTCACTCTGTTCTTTGGTTATTTGTTACTGGTAAAGATAAAGTAAAAATCTCAATCCACAAAAGCCGTCCAGAATTTGACGATTAGACTGTGTTCCGATTACCAAAATAGCCGACAATGTAAAAAATAAATCGCATCAGTGTTTCCTAGCTTAATATTTTACGGCTAAGATGACTTCTAATATATATCTCTCTTGAATACGATATCGTAGAACAAGCCATACAAAGATCAGACAAACTGGCATGAAAGCGTTTTATTTACTGCTCTCAGTGTGACATGTAGGATCTTTATCCAACAGGTGATCGACAGCAGATAATTTCTGAGCCAGATGATCCCACCAGAGTCTTCACTGGCGAGAATGTTTCTTTGACATGGCGCCACTACCAGTCGAGCCGTCTCACACTTTCTGAGGTAGTATTTGGTATTTCGAAGGCTGTTAATCACCTGAACCCAAAACTTATCGCGGTCAATGCAAGGGGTTTTCCTGAAGTGAAAGAAGGATATGAGCCGTTTGTCAGTTGGGCAGGAAACCTGACCGCCTTCGTTGCAGTGTTTGTTCTTCATAACGTGTAGCCCGCAGATGGTAATACGTTCTTTGGGATAGCATTCAAGTTTGGACTTATGCACAACGAGGTTAAAGACCGAGTATGGCTTCAAGTTGATGCAAAACGTAAGTGACATCAAATCAGTCCAAGCGAGGTTTTACTATCATCAAACCATTAGACAACATTCATTCCTTGAACATTAGGTACTACTAGAGGTTTTAATGATACAAGTGTACATCGAGCGTTAGCTAAAAAGGGCTCATTGCGCGAGAGAAATTTGAAACTGGCGTGCAGACACTTTTGACAAGTTTCCATGAAACATGGAAGCTGCCCGGGAGAGGGGGGGCGGGGGGGAGGGAGACTCTTATGTAAAAAGGACAAGGGTGCTCGTCGTACCATTTGGGGGTTAAGGAAAACGGTTTTGGTATCTCTTTATAGGGTGTTCAACATAAAAACTTCCACAGCGGGAGCTTTCGCGGTACCTTTTTTATGACATGAGACAAAGTGTTGTTTTAGAATTGGTACCTTTTAGGGGTGAAAACAATTTCAAGCCACGGCGCTCACAAAACAGGGTCTTGGTACCTCTTAGGGGTTCCGACGAGCAGTTCCGTCCTTTCTAGGTTGCCCCCCCCCCCGGGCTGGGAGTGGAAGCTGAAGGTCGGTTGGAGAAAGCAAACTAGCAAGTAGCCCAGAAGATTTCGTAGAGCAACTATGAACTAAAGACAAACCATCTTCATTTATTGTTTTCAATCATCTTTTTTGTTGACAATGCTAAAGAGACCGTTTAAACTGCATATATGAGAATCACCGTAACTGCGTTTTTCGGATCGCCTGAATGGCAAGTGAGAAATATATTTCTAGGCACCGAGCCGTGCCATCATAATGATTCCACAAAAAGAAATAAATCAGCCACAACGAACACACTAAGATAGTACTAGTTACGGCACGTTCAAAGAAACCTTGGAAACCCGCGAAGAACACGGCCGCGGCATAAAACCTCGCTGCCCCTGAGATGAAAACTTAAATAGCTGCGACTTTCAGCTTACTTGCGAATCTATGACAAGATCCATAACCAGTAATGAACTTCTGGTATTTGGCATTGGGCTAAGATCAACTTGGAGCCTACCAAAATCGACATCACCATAACATTGTACTTTCACCATATTACCTCCACAATCAAATCGCCGCCGCCATCATCATCATCATCACTGCCACTACGGCCACATAATCAACGCTTCCATTACTATAACGATCAGTGCGATCATCAACAGCACCACTGCACCACCATCCTTATCACCACTACAATTATTGCTACCAGCGTGGTCATCAATTATCAACGCTGCCATCACAAATGTGAAAACGAAACGAAGACTTCACGACCGTAAAACGGAACATTTCAAGGCCCTTTCGAAATGTGACCATTCTTCTGCTGCTGCTGATCACATTAAAACAACTGGTCCACAACATCAAATGGGACCATTTTGGCGCCCGGCAAAACTGACTACCATTGTAAGGTTAAGGAGACCTTGTTTATTCAGGAGTTGCAGCCAGCATTGAATGTCAATGTCAGCAGTGATAAGCTTTTCCATTGTGTCACTTTATAGACCGTTTCCGCCTTAAATTTCTACTGCAGCTGTTTTCTGTCTAGGTTCCAGACCCCCATTGAGACAGTATAAATAGCTTTTCAAAAAGTTTTAACGGTTACACTATTGAAAATGTATGTTGACTAGCATACGAAACGTCAAGTTCACAAAATGCATGTTTTTAAAATGTTTATCACCGCAGTTTGAGTTATGTTTTCAATCAAGCTACGATACGATGGTCGAAGATCAAGAGTTTAAATGTCACTTCACTCACCATTTCTTTCAACATAGCCCGCGAACAGGCTCCCGGTGAGCCCGAACGAAGCGAGGGAGCCTGTAGACATTCCCTTGATGCCGCCGTTCTATGATACCAGCTCCTGGTATCATAATATGATTGGTTAAATCGCTGACTGTTGACATCCTTGAGATGAATATTTGACAGATCTTTGTAAAATTACACGACTCCTACGGTTCGTGCGTTTGCCGTTCTCTTTTAAGCTTCGGTCTCTCGACCTCTCGTTATTTCACAAGTGATTTTAAAGGATACTTTATGCTCTGTTATGAGGAGGAATTTTAAGTAGAAGCTAGTGGAGTGGAGCCGTTTGGCAGTGCTATAACAATTTTTTTTAGAGGTCAAAGGAATGGTTTCCGGACTTTCCGCTGTTACCTGCTTGTCGCTTCGCAGAGTTTGACACCTCTATCATGCGCTTATAATTTCTTTAGACTCATTTCAGTATTGGAAAATATGTTTTAAGGTCTCTAAGTATTGACTCTGGAGGGACAAAGATAAGTTTGAAATATTCCGTGAACATGTTGCTTACTTGAGGGGGGTGAATAGGTTTTCGGATCGACGGATTTGGCCTTAAAAAAGCGCACGGATTGTGGATTTTTGGGGTAAATCGAGCGGATTCGCGGATTTTGAAAACACAGTGGATCGTGAATCAGCTGTGAATTTTGGCGCAGATTCCGGATTGTACCTGTCTTGATGTTCCTAAACGAAATTTGGATCATAGATTTTTCTTCAGCCTTGGTCGGTATGTTAATGAGTTCATGCAAATTATTTCTGTTTTCGAACGAAGCTCTTTTAAATGTTAGAATTTTAATACATTGAAGATGTATTTTGCAGCATACGAAACGTTAAGTTAAATTCAAATCTTTTTCAAACCGACCTTAGCTTAGTACGTCCATGTGTCATGTTCATTTACTGCTGTTTGTTTTGTATTTCTTCTCAAACTGAAATGGCCAAAGATTAATTTAGTTGGTAAACATTGCAGATCCTCCAAGAATAACCTATGTTACTATCCCACCCCCGGTCAGGATTGGACAAACTGTGAGCCTTAATTGCACGGCCAGCAGTTTACTTTCATCCAACGTCACGTGGTACAAGGACCGTAAAGTCTTGGCTACTGGTTTTTTTATGGCAGTGTACACGCTGGAAAATATTACAGATAAGGACTGGGGACAGTTTTTATGCGTCGCTAGAAACTCTGATGGAGAAAAAGAGGAGAGTGTTTTTGTCAAAGGTAAGTGATGAAAAAGATTTTAAGACTGAGTCGACTGACAATTAGAGCAAAAGTTTTGTTACTTTAATACTCAATATGCAGGGAGGTTAGAACGTTACTTAAATATATGCGTTAACAACAAATGGATGTTGCCATGTTTTGAACTTTACTTGGTTGCTATTGAGTCTGTAACTCACATTAAGTTTAATTTGCTTTTCTCAACGTGATTATATCCGACACGTTCAAAATGTCCAATGCAATGGAAAGCAGTACAGTTTTACTTGAATTTACTGAAAGCCTGGCATGGCCTGCGGCTGTTTGCTTTAAACCGGGGTAATATTTTCCCACCAAATGAAAGCGCCTGCGCGCGCCTGCTAAATCTAGTAGTACTGCGAAACATACGGCCTACATTTTAATTTTTTCAAGTTTGTATTTCGATATGCATTTAAACTAACACCTTTATAACTTTCTCCATTTGCTGCTTGCAAACTAAGTTCTCCCCGAGAGCCCAACAATATTGAACACAAACAAGAAAGCTTACAGCGCAAACTGGACCCTACAATGGTCAGCAGTTTACAGTGAAGGACACTTGGTGAAGTGTTATACAGTCTGGCACCGAACTGTACACGTGACAAATAATATGAAACGTGAGGAACCATGGTTACAAGAGAACATTACTGGTTTTATGTACCACAAAGAACTCACCGCTGACACGTCTTACTTGTTCGCTGTAACAGCTTGGAATCGATGGGGCGAGAGTTCATTGGAGGGAGACAAAATGTTCTCCATAACAACCGACTTCCAAGCTAGGACAAAGAAAACGGGTAACAAATCTTTCTATGCATCATAGATTGGCTGAGGTTTTTTCTGATATCCTCATGTAAGTGTGGGGCCTTGATCACTGTTGGATAACACGAAAAACCGAATTCAATGATTATTTTATTATACATTGTTTCAAAGAACGGGCTAGATCACCTCTTATCTTCCCCCACTTTTTTGAATTACTTTCGTTGGTTATTTATTTGGTTATTGTGTTTTAAATACTTCGTTGTCTTTTTCTGTGAATTTTTGCGTATTCTTCTCGCCAACGTTGGCCAGAATCATCGACATTCTCCGTATTTGTAGTCGGGAATGCGATCGAAACGGAGAAATGTAACCTTCAAGCCCGACCAGGGGTTTTGGTTAGACAGTATCCAAAGAGCTGTTTTAATTCAGGTGTGTGATCTGATTTTGTCACAATTTGGATGTAAAGCATCTAGTTTTTCCTGGATTTTAGGTTCCCGGTAAATAGACATGAGTTAAATGAAGAAGAAAAATTTAGGTGTTTAGTTGTATCACACGTGTTACAATTTTGAGGTATATTGATATCATATGGGGGAAAAAACTGGTATATTAGTATTCTACTACGTACCCCCCCCGCCCAAGCAGGGCTGAACCTCAGGTTCAGTGAAACTCGGTTAATATCCACCGAAACGAGATATTGTCGTTCTGGGACGTAAAGAAGAGAGATCCTAGGAGCGGCATTGATTCATTTACAGAAATCGGAGGTTGAGTCTTGATTTTTTGTTTTTAGTTTCAACAGAACCTAGGACATCGGTATCACCGTCCGATAGCAGCATGAAACATGATGACCCGGCCGCGGGAAATATTAAAACTATCCTTTACGGAGTAATAGGCGGTGCATTGTGCATACTGCTCCTTGCCTTTATGGTCAGCTATTGCTTAAGAAAGAATCGTAAGAGAAGAAATAAAAATAGTGACAGTAAGTACTTCGTTATGATGCCTTCAAAGACATCGTTTTACACTTCACGTACCGAAGTGAAGGTAGATCATAATCCCTTGTTAACATATAGCATGACACATAGAATATTACAAATAAGTTTGAAAGTCACTGAATGATGTAAAACCGAATTAATTAAAGACTAAGGAAGTCAATTTCGCAATGTAAATAGGTACTACTACTACCACTACTACTACTACTACTACTACTACTACTACTACTACTACTACTACTACTACTAATAATAATAATAATAATGATAATAACAAATGTTTACACAGGATAGCCCTTCAGTACACGAGTACTACAATGTATAAACTACAATGCAATAAAAAATAAAAACTTTAGGTATCTACATTGCTGATTTGCTCTTTATGTTAGTTGTACTGCAGCCTATTGTATAGTTACTGACTGACTGACTGACTGACTGACTGACTGACTGACTGACTGACCGACCGACTGACTGACTGACCGACCCACCTATCGACCGACTAATCTGCGTAGCTGGAGGTTTAGTTGGAGTAGATTCAGAGCGCGCTAGCGGCGAAGCCGCGAGAGGCCTGGTTGGAGAAACGAAAAGCATTTCCCAGCCTCGTTTTCTGGGATCACGCTTTATACGTCTACCCCAACCAACTAAACCGCCAGCCTCGTAGGCTATTGACTGACCGGCCGATCAAACAAAACACTTCAACAAAGAACAAAAGAAAGAAAAGAAAGAGTAAAATGATAACCTTGGAGGTGACAAAGATGGCTTGGACTAACACTGGATTTTGTTTTTCAGGGAACATAGAGCTAACAGGGTAAGTAACCCTGGCCCTCAGTGAAATTGCATGGTCATGATAGAAATAACAGATCCTTAAGTGGCAAGAATTGATATTTACCTAATGTTAAGAATGAGGTTATTAAAGACTAATTTAGATGCAACGAAAGATTGTCTTTAACTGCAGGCAAGCTGTTGTATATATTCTCACCCAATACAAATATTTTCAACACAAAAATTAGCGAATGTCCGATCTTTACGAGAAAATCTCAAACCTTGGCCTTGCTAAATACTGCCAATACGGCAAGGTCTCGGTTTGAGATTTTCCCATAAGACTTCACTCACTCCCGGTTAATAAGTAGTTATTAAACCGCGGATGTGCATTTTTATTATATGATACTTCACAGGACAACTGCGTTTTCGTTTACGTCGTCACAAGATGATATCACCTCTGAAGCGGTATGTGTTTGTTTTACAATACTTCATCACTGCCTTGACTCTGAGTTCCACTGGCCTTTATTGTGGTTTCTTACTTCAGATTTTGCTTTTCTTAGTTTAGACCTGCCTAGTGACCTAGACGGCTCCTTTTCGCTGACTGAGTATGATTTATTGTAGACTCAAGAGACTGCCAATGAAGCAGGATCCGTAATACTAGCAGAATCTCCACTGAGTATGCCAGAATCGTCCCTGACTTTAGAACAGTCGCCAGCATCTATAAGGAACATGCTGAGGAATAGTAACGAGCCAAGAACACGAGAATGCTTTGAAATGAGTACCACAACTCCTGGCTCTGACTCTCCAGGGGTTTCCTCATCGTTGAACACATCTTTTCCACCCCAGGGTAGTAAAAAGACTGAACGAAATCAAGAGATCCACATCCCTGTACTAAGAAAACCATCATGTGAACAGATGCTGAATAAAGTTACCATGACAACGGGCGAGGCTACCTCAGGTCTTGGTGCACTCTACAATGAAGCTGTTGTGACAGAAAATCAAGAAACAAGGAAATTCCAAGCACTGGGCTCCTTCAGATTGAAGGAAATTGTAATCGGCCCAATCCAAAGAGTGACCACTTCAGAAGGCTACTTTCAACCGGTGGACAACAATAATTTGCAAGCTGGTCCTGGAAAAGCTCGACTCTTTTCTCCCAATCACCCCCGAGCTAAGCCGAGAGTTAAAAAATCGAGCACAAGAGATAGAGAAAAAGATATTTCAAAGCAACACAAGTTCACCCCAAGGCTGGGCCAGTCAAACACAGACAAGTTACAAAACAACCCGTTATATCAAAGAGAGGCGCCTATTCAACACTGCTCCTGCGTCAGACCTGTTGACCAATCAAATCGCCTCATTAGCCCTGCAGTGGGAACTCGCATTGGTCACCAAAGCTATCAAAACTGTCTTAATAATAATAAGGATAGAAGCACAACAGCTCCTTACATTGTGGAGTCTCCATACATGCAGGTTCTCCAGAACACCAACTGGGAAGTGTCACGTGATCACTTATCCTTGTTTGAAAGGATCGGTGGTGGTTCGTTTGGTGTGGAGGGGAGCTGTGTTTGACGTCGCAGGAGACAAGGAATGGTCTGTGGTAGCTGTTAAAATGTTGAAGGGTAAGGAATAATGCAACTTTGTTACTTACGATAGTCAAATGTGTGGTATACTTTTACGAGTTTGGCAATATTTTGATTTGTACCAGGAGCCATAATCGGGGACGGAGACCGTAAGTCTTGGGATCCGCGCGCACCCATGATATGGGACAATTTTTCTATTTTTAAAACAAATTGCGTCATCCCGACGTCATATATCCGCGCGGATCTACGCACATGTCAGGGGTTCTCGCGTGGATGTTGTCACGTTGCGTGATCAAATGGTGAGAGTTGCGAGATTCTCTTGCAGATTTTTCACAGCGATGACAGGGAATAAGGCAGGGAATGAGAACCAGGGCTCTTATATGTAGTTTTATGCTCTGAGCTAATGGAAAAGGTGAGTTTTTCAGGGTCGAAAACATGACTTCGATTTCGCGCTGTGAATG